TAAGTCCCCAGGCCCAGCCGCTAGGAGCCTCCTTCTGGGCCCGGGCGTTGCTGAATCGCTATTGGCATCCCCCAAGCCTAGTCTGCCCCCACCGGCCCTACCAGGGTGACAGCCAGCCAGAGGGCTGGGCCTGTGGGGCCAGGCGCTGGGCAGGTAGTGGCCCATTAGGGACCAGTTGGGGCCGTGCAAATAGGGGCTCCTGCAGGGGAGGAGACTCACTCGCTCTTGCTCCAGCTGAGGAGCAGGAGGGTCCTGCCTGCCTGGGAAGCTACAGAGGTGCCTGACCTCACCTCACCTCACCCCACCCCTGACTGCAAGGCCTGAGGCAAATAGGGCTGTGGGGAGGCAGCCAGAGCAGTTGGCCCATGTCCCTTGCCAGTGAGGAGTGGCCGTTTCAGATGCAGTTTGCCCCACAGGTCAGGGGCTAGCAGGCACGTGGCCAGGGGTTGCTGAGGCCAGGGGGCTTGAGGTTCCCTGGGGGAGGCCGCAGAGTGCAGGGCACTGCCCCAGGGCAGTAGGGACAGGGAAGGGCGCCACAGGCTGGGGGGAGTGTGGGGCCTGCAGTAACTCAGAAGGCTGATAAGTGAGGCTGCAGAAGGGGCTGTGAGGCTGAAGAGCTAATTCCCAAGGTGAGCAGCAGCAGGTGCTTGGCTGAGTGTCCTGCCCTGTTACTCCGGAGGTGGGGAAGCTCTGGGCTGGATCTGCCCCATGAAGCTTGGGGCTCCCCTCCCCATGCTGGCACTTGAGCCCTGTGGCCTCCTCCTGCCTTACCCCTGCACCCCACTGCATTCCGGCACCCTACCTCCCCCCCAGACCCAACAACCCCCAACCCACTCCTGCACCCTCCTTCCTGCCCACACCCCAAGTCCACTACCCAGCAGCTCCTTCCTGCACACGGAACTCCTCATTTTTGGCCCAACCTCCCAAGCACAGGTGAGGGCCATTTAATATGCTACGCTGGGCCCCCTAGGCTCTGGTGGGAGAAGGTGTGTGTGCTTTTTTGTTGTTGTTTTTTCTCACTTTGTGTGGCCCCTAACTGATTTTTTTTTCTGTGGGTCAGTGGCTCCCAACCCGAAATACGTTCCCCACCTCTGTGTTACACCAGGAACAGGCTGGCAAAATCTGCTTGGTATAAATCAATACTACAGGCAGTCCCCGAGTTACGCGGATCCGACTTATGTTGAATCCGCACTTACGAATGGGGCTTTCTCGCTCCGGAGCTCGCAGGCAGCGGGACCGCCCAGAGCGCAGCGGGACCGCCACCTCGACCTCCGGGGCGAGAAAAGCTGCTCCGGGTGCCCCTGGTCTGCTGGGGACTGTCTCCAGCC